AAAAAAAAAAAAAAAAAAAAAAAAAAAGGAAAAGGTTACGAAGGGAAAATATTCGAAAGATACTGCAGTTAATTGGACCTCTATTCATTAAACGATAAACAAACAAACGACGCTTCTTGATAATTTACAATTTTAATTATCTCCATTGGAAATAATATTCCTCTGCGCGCGATTGCATTATACTTCTCACAAAGCGTATAATTGCTGTCTGAAGTACGAACTTAGTGATTTTAATCCATTTACGATCGAGAACGTGTTATTTTTGCTCCGATATTAATTGTACCACGCTGTGAATTGTTGCGCGTGTAGTTTTATTCGTAGATGCACGATGTACAGGTAGAACCTTGATTGTCGGAACGTTCTCTCTATCATCAGAATATTCTGTTAACAGGTACTTTTAAACCATAAGTATTTACCTTCTTCCATCAATATCGTTGAAGGTAACGCGATATTCAAAGTAATAATGTTCCATTGTTGGTGCAGTTATTTACATTCAATGATAATGTCATGGAAACGGAAACGGAAATGGTAATCGGTTGAAACCACAGGGATCGAAAAATTATGTTGGAAGTTATATATATGTATATATTGTACAAAAATTAAAAATATTCTTGAATAATACAGATATTGTCCAAATAATAAAGTTCCATTTAGCTATTTCAGAATGTTATAATTACACTCGTAATCACTGTCCATCATTCTGTGACAGTATTTGCTACAAATACTGAGAAACATAAACATGGAGAAGTTCTCTAATATTGTCTGTTCGGAAAGATTTCTATTTTTCTTATCCTTTACAAGTTCTGAAACTCTTATTCTTAGGAACGTTTGTTTATCTAAACTCAATGCAACGTAAGAACATTTTTTCGAACAGATTTAAGTAGTATTTAAGCTTCTTAACTTTTTCGATCCGTGGTTGAAACGAAACCTCAGATGAGATGATGGAGAGGATCTGTCGTGCAACTTGTATCGGTTATATTAACAAAGTTGTTCTTCCATTTGTCCGAAAACGTCACCGTTTGCCTCCGAATTAGTACCGACAATCGACGGTATTTGCTTGATGAAATTTCAGAGGGGGAGAAGTTGAAATCGAACGACAGGCGAGCTTCCGGCCTGATGGCGTATCCGAGGATCGGCCGGTCCGACGTGCCGGTCTCTAACCTAAATTTCAACCGTCGCCACGTCATGGAGCCAGACACCGATTTCCAATTTTACAGCCCGCAGTTGGACTCCGTTCCGGACAAAGATTACGAAGGTGAAGTATCACCAATAACATTCGAAACGTGCGTCCGCATCCTATCCCGCAATCCCATTTTACGTGTAATTTATCTTGCCGCGGGTGAAAGATGGCCAATAGCGCGCGCCATTTTGCGTACAGAGCAAGTTCCACTTGCAGCTCTTTCGTTCTCTCGTTCTTTCCATTCTCTTGACTGGCGTGGTGGAATCTCGGCCAGGAAACAAAAATGACGAATCGTTTTGGCGGATTTTCCACGGGAAAAATTGACACTTGGAACAAAAGAAAAGAAAAAAAAAGAAAAAAAGAACAGAGTAATAGAATCGTCTTCTGCGACGTAAGAACTTTAGTCATCGAAGACTTTAGTCTTAAGGAATCGCCAGTTTTACTATGTGAAAATTAATTTAGAATTTTTGCAAGCAACAGTTTGATTCAGACGTCTTCTTTCAAAACAGACTGAGCGTTTAAGCATACAATTCGGTCGAATATTTACTGTTATAGAGTTTGGAAATTTCGAAATATACGAATCCTACCTAAAATTCGCGTTTCGAAGGAGCACTGGACAGAGGAGAGAAAGTTCAGAGCGCGATTTTCTCTGAATCCAGCCGAGTTGTATGAAAATGTTTGTCACAAACTGAAAGTGCCACGTTCAGATCACGAGAGGAATCGAAAATTGACAGGAGAATGACAGCTAGGCGGCTAATTCTGAACTATCGATTTTTAATGAATTTTAATATTTACCAAAATTATTAAAACGGCAACGCGTGGTCACGGTGTAATAGGATCGCGATGTTTGGTAGCCGTCATGGATACCTGGCCGAATGTAAATTATCTGTTACTGATATCGAATTGTCACTTCTACAAATTTGAATTACGTGGCGTCGTGTGATGGACGATCGAATGAAAACACACTGAAAGTAGAACGAAACAAACGCGCGAAACTTTGCGAGAGTCTAACGCGCGAGCGTGAAAAAGAATCGTCAAACTGTGATTTCGTCTTGATGGATTATTATTCGTCTCGTTAGATTACCGGGGGGAAATTGCTATCGTTACTCGAGAGGAATTTCATCACGATTAAAGTGAAAGTTGAAATGAAATTTTATAACGTTCGAAACGGAAATTTAAAACTGTCGGCAATTCGTTCGATAAGAATTGACTTCGAGACGACAATTGAAATATAGTAGTTCACAATTGTCAAATAAAAGAATCAAAGAACCGACAATCGAGATAATAATTAAAAGTTAATGGTTGCTGATAATTGTCAAATAAAACAATTAAAGGGTCGATGATTGAGCCAACTTCCGAGAATTCGAGGAATTTCGAAAACGTACAAATGCGATATATCTATATTCCACTTCGATATAGCATTTCGTAATAATTATCGTTATAATTATCATCAACTTTGTAATCGCGTTCCACGCGATCGATTTCCGGCGGTTTATTTTACGGGGGAGTCGCCAGTGATGCGTACGCACAACTTTGGAAAATTGAAATTTCCTTCCCCCTAAGTGTAATTCAAGCCATGGAATGCACACACCTTGAGCTAGCATAATCGCATAAATTACCATACAATTTGCAGACGTTCGCAATACAGCCGGCGGATCCGTTGGAAGATCGATGAATCTTAAACACGTAGACAAATTTCCAAAGGAAGCGTCATGGTTGATTTCAGATCGTATCCGTTTGGCAAAAGATTATCGACCTTGGCAGAAGATCGACGAGGGAAGATTTGTTTATCCTGGCTCGTTGCTACTCGCACGAGGTATGAGACAAACCTCTTTTTCTCTTTTGAGCTACGTGCAATGTTACACTGACTTACAACTAACACTAAAATTACGGCATTAAAGTAATCACATATTAAGAAATATTTCTTTCCATTTGTACGATAAGAAATTTCTTTCTTAATCTATCGCAAACCGGCTACAAGTATAACTGTTGATCTCTTAAAAACTTAAATTTGAAAAGTTAGGTTAGGTTAGGTTTGAAAGATCAACGTTTGCTTAAAACAAGAAAGCACTCCAGGCCATTGTTGTCAAACTTGGTTTTTGTTAAACCAGGAAATTCAAAAAAAAAAAAAGATTCGATATTTCAGAGGCGGATTAACGAACTGAGAGAAATGATTCGATCAAGATGTGTACACTTTCGTTGCCTGGGCTTTCGTTCGATTGCGGCTGCCCGGCGGAGCAGAAGGATTAATCATTCAATTTCTCGAGAATCGAACACCGATTTCGAGTAGGCAGCGACAGTAATCTTTCAAAATTTAACAAGATTGACTCGAGGTTTTCTAAACTCTCTTGGGGCTGGCTCTTGCATTTTTTTTTTTTTTTTACTTTTTCTTGATCCGCGATGATCTACCGATCCATGGAAAATCGAGTTGAAAATATCAAACACAAATCGCGAGAGACATCTCGATAGAAAAAACTGTCCTCTATAAACCCGGTCACCGAAAAGACTCGTTTTTCGTTTTTTTTATTTTTATTTTTCCTTCTTTCGTGCAACCTGTCCATCGATTTATCATCGTTTCATTGTGTACACTTGCTCGATTATGCTCGAAGCATTTTTCTCCGCTCTCTCTCTCTCTCTCTCTCTCTCTCTCTCTCTCTCTCTCTCTCTTTTCGGAGTCGCGCGCGCACAGCGGCGAAATGTTTCGACCTCGATATATATTTCGATACAGCCGCGCGAAAATCTCAATCCCATCGATACGTGATCCGGGAACAAAAGTACGAGCGCGTTCGTCGCGAATGTTGTGTTGATGCGCGGCCCAAATGCCAATTTAATTTCTCCCCTTCGTGCGGATACTATTTCCTCCTGCTCTCGCCCCCTTCGTGTCTGGCCATCGCTGGCATTCGAAACGTACCGGCCGGATTCGCGGCGAATAAAACTGGCTGTTAATGCGTTATTTATACCGGGTGACCGTCGAAACTCGCGGATGGGAAAATGTTGCTCGCACGCGACTCCCCTTCGGGGAATCGTCGATGATTCCTGGGACGAATCGTGGCGTTAGGGTTGAAAATAACCAACGTTAGGGGTGAAAAACAGTGTTTCATATTCACACGAAGCGAATCTCTAATTTTGTGAATCTATCTTTCTCTCTCTCTCTCTCTCTCTTTTATTTTCATTTCTGTAGATTGGAAATTTCACGAGAAGTTTAAGAAACCGAGCGTAGGTTTGCCGTAAGTTTGCACGGAATGCGCGTAAATATTGGAATCTGTCGAGCAAACTTCACGCGTTCTGGCGTTTGCAGGACGAAAACGAATCCCTTTAGCTGCGAGCTTACGCTTAAAAATTTGCATAAACGTCCATTTGCAGTTTAACCACGGTAGATTACACTCCGGGAACTGAGAATTTGCCCTCGCGTACGTGATTCTCGTTTACCTGTGCAAGCACACGACAGATTTAGAAATCAATCGCTTGCTTCGAACGTTGGCGATTTTGTCAACTTTCTCATTTTTTTCGACGAAACGTTTAAAAAACGTTTGAAATTTTCCTTACCCACAATGTCGCCATCTAGTGGTGACAATTTAACTTATTACAACATAACTTATATTTTCACGTGCATGCATAGAACCATTTCTTTCTTATTTTCAATGAAACATTTAGAAACGTATTTCTCTGATATTTAGAAATTTGTTCTCCTTGCAATGAAACAAATTTTTACTTTTTTAATGTAGTATATACATAGAATTATTTCTTTCTGAAGTTAATCGAAAACTTAAAGTCTCGTCTTCGACAGCGACGAACGTGATATTATACATTGTTTACTTGTTCCTTGGTTATTAATTAATTCCAGGTTCTCGAAACAGCCAACCGAACGGTTACACGCCTCGACTTGGCCGCGAGAACGACGTGGACCGAGCCGGCTGCAAATGATCTCCGAGGATTTTCACACTGGCCGCCCGTATGGAACTCACGCGATCCGAAATCTAAACGTATCTCTATCCAGTGACCAGCTGCCCACGAACGATGCCAAACGAACTCCCTTTAATCCTGCCAGGAGGTTTCACAGATAAAAACAGAACACACGAGCGAATCGATCTCCCGCGCGACACACAAACTCACGAAACATTGCCCTTTCGGTGAAGATTGCCGAAGATCTCCCCGCATGTAACGTTGGTCCATTGAATTTTCGCTGACACACGAACGAGGGTAATAAAGCTGGTAAAACGATGTTTCTTTCTGAATGTGCTTGAAACGTTCTCTGCCCGACGAGACCCATCCCTCGTTTCTCTTCTCCAAGAATTTCCTTCCAATTCCTTCTCGCCGATATCGATCCGGAATTTTCGTCGCTTCTTTCGGCAGAGAGAAATTGCTCGGCGAGAAAGCAGCATTTTTCGGTTCTTGAATTTTTGTTTTGCCCAAAGAAGCGAAGAAGGAAAGCTCTCCCGCTTTCGCTGTGCAAATTTCTCTGCTCTCGCTCGGAACAGACAGAGTTACTAGCGAGATTGTGACATTTTTTGCATAGTTAAAAACTATTCCACGGTTCCTACACCGTGAGAATTTCTTAAAATTTCTCCCACCTTAAACGTTGAGTTTAAATCTTTTTTTCTTTTTTTTTAGCTTTTTAGCAAGTGTTGAATTAACGTCTCTTGAATTTATTTGTTGGTTTCCCACGGAAAGTAGACAGATACTTAAAGGCCTTCGTGGCCTTTCTCCGAATATCGTTCTGTCCGAGAATTTGACAGAATTTTCCATTCGACGTGCCACGATCGACGAGTTAAATTCGACAATCAATTCAACCGCGTTGCATGAGGATATTTTGTATCGGTGTTAATCGACCGATTAATACCCACAGGAGATATCCCAACGCGCCAACTTTCTCCGCCGGATTCTGCGATTTTAACGAAGTTCGTTTAATCCATGAATCACTGGGGGATAAAGTCTCGAAATGAATCCCCCTCTGTCTCTCTATCGATTGCCCCTTTTCCTTTCGCCCTTTATCGCGACGCGAAAATTATGCATAATTCCCCGGGCGAACGATCCCGATATTGATATTTAAATTCGCCGGCGGAAAACAGGATTTCATTCGACGCGTTAAATTCGCGGATAATTATAAAATTTCGAAGCTAATCGAAACTAGCCTACTGGATTTCTGCGTGTTTACGGGGCAATGCACGGAAATGCGAAAAACATATTCGGAGAGGAATAATTTATTATGGTGACGCGGATAAGCGAAACATTCGCGCGCAGCTGCCATTTCTTCAGTTCAGTGTTTCGTAAAAATAACGTCTACTAATGACGCGTCTGCTTTTAATTTATGCCTGGTGGAAAATTATTTTAACTCCACTCGTTAAGGATAAAGCGGAAAGGGAAACAGATACAGCGAATATGTTTGCGAACGCTGAAATATTTAATCTTTAAAAAGATGAATTTAACCTTTGATTTTTATTTAATATTCTTCGAAAAGGAAGAATTTGATATTTAACATTTGAAATATTTTAAATTCATTGCTTATCATAATAATCTATTATTATTGTTAATTTGAATTTGTTATTTATTTATTTATCGTAACAATTCGTTGGAATATTTAATCTTTAAAAAGATGAATTTAACCTTTGATTTTTATTTAATATTCTTCGAAAAGGAAGAATTTGATATTTAACATTTGAAATATTTTAAATTCATTGTTTATCATAATAATCTATTATTATTGTTAATTTAAATTTGTTATTTATTTATCGCAACAATTTAATACTCAGAGAATAAATTTAACATTAAAAAATATATATATTTTCGCAGATAAGCTGGTAAGAGTATGAACGAGACGATAAGACGTATCTCGTATCGCGGGCGTATTTAAGCCGATCAGTTTCTATTCGATTCGAAATTATTTACCGATACAGCGTACGATTAGCGGCAGCACAATGTAACGATTTAGCAAACAATGCGCGTATTATCTACGCAACTTCAGACTTTTAATTTCTGCGGCTCGGATGCAGAACGCGTGGCCAACGATTACGATTCGGCCTGTTGGAAAATTTCGTTTAATCTCCAGAAATACTGCAGCAATATGGCTACCAACCAACTTTCTGTTAATAGCTAACTCCCGTTAATTAAAGACCTCCCTTTCGAGAGAGGAAAGAAATTTAAGATAAATGTCTCGTTCGTTTATTCCAGGATTCTGGAAAAGCTGGCAATTCTGCTCGAAACAGAATCGTGGAACTCTTGATCGCGGCCATTCAGATTCGTCGTGTCTTCTGGAAATGCGAATCGACGACTCTGAATGTAAATGTCCCACGTTTCGGGGCCGAGAGCGAATAATTCGATTTAATTAAAGCATGTCGAACACTGTAGATACTGCCTCGGTAGAGTCGAGCTTTCAATTCA